CTTTCCGGAAAGCACCTGCACTTAAAATAAAACTCGTAGTGTGAGCAGTACCCCAGAATGAGCCTCTCTTCTCTGGGAGCCGTGGTTTGATTTTGGGACGCGCTTCCCCCGCCGTTCTTGGGCACGGGGCTAGTTTTGGAAGCGCGGAGGCTGCGAATACTTAGAAGAGCAGCGTGCGCAAGGGTGAGTGCTGCTCCCCAGGGAGAAGGAGGTTAGGCCCGACCTTTGGGCTCGGGAAAGCCGGTAAGAGAGAAGACTATTGTATTGGAGGAAGGAAGGACGTTATAACGCTTTAGTGGTGACTCCGGAGTCTTGCCCAGCTTTCTCTACAGTGATGGTTGTGCTCCGGATGGGCTGCTCCTGTCTCAGGACTGTGGTACCTGAGACACCGGGGCTGGGGGCTGCAAGCTTTGATCCTGGGTGTAATGCCTTTCTAATTGGCGCTCGGTGTTTTTATATCAGCTGAGTGGTGAAATATAAATACATGGATGCCGTATGATTTTTGTTTTATACCTTGGGAAGGACTGCGTTTGTTCTTGTCTCTGGGAAGACTCCCTCTAATGCCTTTCTGCTCTCTCACCTTCTCTTTCATGGGGTATATGTTGCTTGTATTTCAGGAAATGGAAGCGATCCCTGATTTTAAAGGTGGTTAGAGTTTTCTAAAGTATATATCTTTAAAATGGCAAAGCATGCCAGTTAGGACTTTTCTTTAAAGGCTAACTGAAAGCTGTTTTTCTCTCAGCGTAAAGTTTGTGTTCCTGTTCCCTGATTAGTGAGCGTCAAGTCACTAACAGCTGTTAATATAAACTCATCCAGTAGGTAAAGAGAAATCTGGAACTTAGGTCCTGAGTTCAGATGTTGCCATGTACTAGGTCAGAAGTTTTAACAGTGTGTCTGTCTGTCTACTTGGAGATTTTTAAAAACCTTAAAAAAAACCCACAGCACAGCCAGAACAAAAAGGCTCTGAAGCCAACCACCCCACAAGAACCTAGTTACCTTTTGGTAATTCAGCTAACTTATTTTTAATCCTTTCTGATATTTTTATGCTCTTTAACTGTAGGCTAGGTCTGGACTTACAGAACTATGCAGCTTTAAATAGTTGTTGAAATTTAATGCTCTGTTTGTAACCTTGTGAGAGTGCTTTTTTATTGCTGCCAAGTCTGTCTTTAGCAAACAGCTGGTTTTCTTTAACTGCTTTTCTTTTTATTTTAAATGAGAAGAACTAAATTTATTTTAAGGCAACTTGATATGCTGTAGGCTGAAACAACAGAAAATCACCCAAGGAAGTGCATTTTGAGCAGTGCATGATAAAGTTGAGCTAGAATTACCGAGTGGAACTTCTGGCCAGTTCAGGCGTGCAGCGGCTGCTTGGGTAAAGTACTTTGGCTTATTATGCATTTTTGGTAGGGCTAATTTAAACATACTGAACTACTGAGTTGTTTTTTCATTGCTGGACTTGATGAGAACTGAGTTAATTCAGTTGTGAGTCACAAGTACAAAAATGTAGTACAGATCATGTGGGAAAGTGCTTATTTTCTTGCCTTTTTTTTTTCCCCATTAAAAAAAAGGAACCCCCCCCCCCCCCATGATACTTCTCAAAACCAGCTCTCTTAGTAGAAGACAAGCCTAGCCATCGATTGCCAGCTAGAACTGATTATGGCAGGGAACTCCTGTGTGATGATCCTGGGTATGTTGCCATTTTTTGATGCTGTTTCTGGCTAACTGATAGAAGCAAAGAAGCCCCAGGTGTCAGGCAGTGAGTTTTCATCCATGTCTTCTATGTGAGGAAACTGTCATGAAACATGTGGTCTTCTGTTTGTTTGACTTTTATGGAGTGACTTTAAAAATCAAGTTCTGTAAAGGTCTCTCGATATTCTGTGGTCTGTGTGTCTCACGTTTTGCTGGTTCTTTGTACTCCTCCAGCTCTGAAGATGCGTGCTACAGTTGTCTTTCTCTGTATTAGCTGCAAAAGGTTTTACAGGACAAATCGTGTCCTTATTGAAAGATCACTGCGCTCTCACCTCAGTGCCTTTTGACACCTTCGTAATTTGAATTTAGAAGATGGTTGTCCTGACGCACACTCTTGATGACTTGCATCCTTTTAGCTGTTGACTATTCAGGGCTAACGTGAGGAAGGCAATAGAAACTTCAATTTGCTGGTGCTTGTAAAAGTAATTTTAATTGAAAAATTCTACCGTGGCGCCTAAGTGCCTCCTTGAGCGTATTGATGCAGTTTCAGATTGAAGCTTTTCATTTGAATTTCCTTCTGCTCACTGTTTAGGTTACCTTTTTTTAAAAAAAAATTAAAAAAAGCCTATGAAGTCGTCTGGCAGTGATTCCTGCTAGGTGTTTTGTTTGTAGAGTTGAGCTCTTGAAATCTTGTGAGGCCTACTGGGAAGTCCTGTTGTAATAGAGTGTGGGTGGGTGTAGCGCCATATGGCAGGAGTTACTTCTTGAAGTATTCTCAGGCAGCCAGGTGGGACTCTTGTTCTCTGCCTGGTTGGTTTCACAGGAGCAGTTTACTGAAATAAAACTTCTAATTAGAATATTCCTTCCAAATTAATTTGAATATTTAAAGCCTCTTGTATCTTGGCTAATCCTATGAAGACATACCGCCTGTGAAGCTTCCATGCAGTATGTACGCTCGTGCTGTATGTACTGTAAACCTGCGGAAGATGATAATAGCTGAATAATTCTTAAAGATGTCTTGGGAGGAACTCCTCTTTGTAATGAGGCATTTAGATTAAGGCACTTTTCAGAAGTTGCACAGCAAGATAGTTGCCCAGGAAGAGATCCCAGGTCTTCTGAATAACCTCCTCCCTTCCAGGCAGTGAGACATTGTGCATTACCTTTCTCGACCACAGAAATTAAACAGGAGAGCTGGCACCCCTGTTCTGCAGATTGGGTGGTTCTTTGTCTGCAAGGCAGTTGCAGGTTGGTGTCTGACAAAAGTAGAGCTACGTTTCACAACCCAATACTTGAATGGTTAAAAATGCAATTGAGAAAGGGCTGGGCTGTCTTTCTGGGCATGGGAAGGCACATGAATGGATGTGCTTCACATCACTCTCCTGCCTTGGAATGTCTTAGTTGGCATCTCGCTATATGAGAGAGGTTGAGGAGCAACCAGCAGTCCTCCAGACAATGTGCAGTTTATTGAGCTTACAGCCAGTCTCTCTCCCTGGAAATTATGGAGGTAAGGAGAGTCACCTGCAGGGTATTCACAACTCTCTCATTGCTTGTGAATGACTTTTGGGGTTGAGGAGGCCCTTATATTCTTCTCTTCTTCTACCATTCTAATTGCCCTTGACTGTCCCTGTTAGCGTATTTTTGGGATAAGTTTACTGGCTGACCTGGAAATCAGGACAATGTCTGTAGTGGGAAGCTAGAAGTTAAGTATGGCACAGCTAGTGTACTTGACTCGATGATCAAAAATCTTTCTCCAAACTGGAGTGGCAGGATTCCACTTACAGATTTATTGTTAGCTGTGATTAGAGTGTATGTGTGGCAGAGTCTAATCACCTTGAAGAGATAAGGGTTCCCAAGGAGATTAGAGAGGATCTTTAGGTAACTATTAATTTATCAAAAGTTGTTTTTTGGCTCTTCTGGTTGATATTCTAGATGAGTGTTGTCTTCTCCAAGCAGCTTTCTCATATTTCAAATAGCTTTAGTTTCAGGTTTTCTCCTCTACAGGATTGGTTTGTAGCCCTTTATTTATGGGTTGTATGTCTGACGAGTCTACAGCAGTACTGCTGGTGGCCACCGGAAATGGTAGTTAAAATAGTGCCAAATGGAAAAGGAAAAAATGTTTTGTGCTCTGTTGTTTGCTCATTGCTGTGACCTGAAAGTCTTCTCACCTGATAGCAGTCCTTAGCTCTACTCAATGCTGAAAACGCTCTAGAAGCCAGATCGCTCTTCTGGACTGGATTAACTGTCCTGCCTATGGTATCCTGCTGGCGTGGAGGGGAAGGACAGTTTGATTCCCTAGAAGAGCTGTCTTTCCCAGAGCAAGGTTCTTCAAATAACTTTGTTTATACAGCAGTTAACTCTTGATCAGCATTTTAAGATCTCATGTAGCAAAGAGACACCCAATATGACCTGATGTTTTCTGCTGCTTCTTGTGCTAGGGCTCTAGCAAAGCTGAGGCAGTGGATTCAGGTGGGAGGTGGAAAATTGCTACTGCTGTTAGAATCACAGAATAATTGAGATCAGAAGAGACCTCTGGAAGTCTCCAGTCCCAATCCGCTGCTCAGTGTGGGGTCGCTAGGTGAGATTGTGCTCGTGGCTTTGAGTTGTTGAGGTTTGAATGCCTCCAAGGCTGGAGATTGCACAGCCTCTCTGGGCCCCTCTTCCTGTGTTTGACCAACCTCATGATTAAAAAAAAAAAAACTTTCTTTATATTTGTTGGCACAAAATAAAATCAGGAGAGGGATCAGTCATATTAGTCAAAAACTGAAGTGTTAATTCAGTTTCCAACATACATTCTCCTAGAATGATTTTTATAGCAGCTTGTCTCACCACAAGTATGAAGTAGCTGAAAGTATTTGATTACTTTTTTTCTTTGGGGTGATTGAGTATGTAGGTCCCAAAGATAGCCCTGTAGCTTCATGGTAACTTTATAATTAATCGTAATAACGCTTGTTTTCAGTCATCTTGTTTTTGCACGATACTCACTTCGGCCATACGGAGTTTTGCTGTTGACTGTTCATCATTGCGTGTTTTTGAGGAAACCCAACTTCTGTGTTCTGTAACCGTGGGCACAGTGTTCGCGCCCTGCCAAGCGTCTCCCAGCGAGGTTCCACCAGGCCCCAGGCAAGTGCAGAGCTGCAGCTGAGTGGGAAGACATTTGAGTGCTGCCAGGGAGTGCGAGGAGGAATGAGCTCTCCTGGGTTGTTTGTTTGCAAATGTGATTTCTCTGCTTCCAGTTTATTACTGCGTTAAGGGAATCGGGCTCACTTGACTCAAAGCAGCAACTGTATTCGCAGCTCTTTGTGCTGTAGGAGAGCGTGAACCAGAGATCCTAGTTCTTACAGGTGTTTTCATCATACCCTGATTGTTAGCATTGTTGCACTGAACCTATTTACCCCTCAACAGAGCTAACTGGGTGTTTATTATACTGTACAGCAGTTGACCTCTGCTCCCCGATATTGTAAGAATAAAGGAAGATTTTTTTTATATCAGAATTTTTCTACCTGTCCCTTTGGTTGTAGCATTCTTCCTGATTCTGCTTGTTGGTTGCAACCAAT